TAATCAGAATATTGATTATTATTGTTTAGGAGTAGATAGCACTGTTTTTTTATAAGAATTTAAATACCTTTTTGTTTATCATTCGATGATCGTCCACCTTTGTTGATTACTAGAAACTGATAAATAATTATATACCTTTCTTTATCTTTTAGACACCTTTATCAGTGACAAATATTAATACGTCATCTATCTACCGTTTATTTGTAAAAATAAGGTAGCACCTTGCTTTATGTTCCAGAAAGGATAAAAACAGAGATTGATATTTATGTATAGTGCGGGTGTGTTTTGCGTTAAGATGATCGACATGTTTATGACGTTCGGAGCTCTGATTGGCTAGCTACAAGTGAACCGGCCAATCAGAGACCTAGCGCGATAACATTTTGATTGCATTTAACGTAAAATAAACTCACACTTAGCACTCTGTTTCAAAGAGAACTGTGCCACGTTTTCTGTTAAATTCGTAGATGTTCGTAGTCACTCGGTCGAAACTGACGAGAGCCATGGAAGAGTCGGTGTGGGAGAGCCAAACTTCGGCATGAATACTCATTCATGTATTTTAAAATTTATTTAATTCTCTTTCGGCTCGACTGGAGTGTAACCTCGATCAAGAAAACCGGCGTGAAACGACAGTGTTGGAATTCGCCTTGTGAGTAAGGTTAAGGTCTCCCCAATCCTTAAATCTCCTAATCCCCAAAAAGCCGGCAACGCACTCGTACCTCCTCTGTTATTACGAGTGCCAAAAACAATAAGTAGAAATTAATTAATCACCAACACGGAATCACCGATCGTGATTCCGTGTTGGTGATTAATTAATTTGCCGTCACAACACGGCTGATATACCTATGGCAAATATAATAAGTAAGTATCAACTTGCTATTCTACCTGATTATAAATAAATGGATGCAGAAATACCCTATGCTATGCAGGTACTCTGATGTGGTCACTGTAGGGAATAATTTGAAGAAGGGCGAAGCGAGAAGCTCAAGACCGATCGAGATGAAGGATCTCTGTAGACCCCTTCGCCTTATTTAAGATCATTTAATTCGTCAAACCCCAAGAGAACGCCGGCATTCATACCGATTGAAAGGTTCAGTTATTCATTTATATGTTTTTCTTATAGGGAATACTTACAAAATAAATAATTAAACTAAAATTCCCATTCCATAGTAACAAAGTTGAAACACAAGTCTATGTACTTAATACATAGTATAATTGTATTATACATAGAAACTATCGATTAACTAAGCCGGTTCCGAAGTTCCGGGTCCCAAAGCCTCATCTCTATTGATTACCATTGATTGAATTTGATCGTAAACGTGGAATATAGACTGTTATAGACACTACAATATTGTAGACATCTGTAGACATTAAATTACTTGTCTGCAATTTGTAAAAAGTCAAATTAAATACTTTTAATTAAAGTAACTTAAAATTAGTGAATAGGTTACTTCTAGGTAAGCGCGCTCCATCTTCGACCGCATCGTCGCTTTGCATCAGGTGAGATAGCGGTCAAGCGCGAGCCTATAATCAATAAAAAAAAAATATTGTCAACAACGATACTTTTCATTAAATTTTGTATTCATAGAAAATTAATTAAGTCAAAAGTATACTATTTCTGAAAAATCCACAACAACATCATCAACATCATTAGCTTATAAGTTCCCACAGCACAGCAAAGGCCTCTTCTTCACGGAAAAGATTTGAGCAATAGTTTAGTTTCCAACTAGTCAAATTCAATACTATTATCGAAATGGCAAAAACGATACTTTTGTATGAAAAACTGAGTTATGACGTCATAGTATTTTTGCGTCAAATAGCTTACTTATTTCTTAATATTTAGCTTCAAAATATCTAAAACTTACTGTATCGATCGTTCGATGAATAAAAGTATAGTTATTTTTCAATATTTTATTGTATTGTAACATCGAATTAATTAATTTTTGACCTAGGAAACTACCCAATTATCACTATTGCTCATGTTTTAATTCGTATGTCAATAGAGTCTTACTTTAAAATAATTGAAAGTACATAATAACTTGGAAAAATCACGTTGCACGACGTTGTTGTGACTCGCAATGTGACTATTACAAATGCAGATTATCTCAGTTAATTCACTTGAGTAATTCGTTATTTTCTATTCAAAAATTACTTATTTACTATTATATTTCCATAACTATAGATATTTATAAACGTTTCACTACAGAAAATACCGAAGCTGAACCAAAAATTTAGACTGTTCAAAATACCTACTTCAGTCTCAAATAACTCTGAAACGTTCGATTAAATACTCAAAGGAATCCATTACGGACAATAATTTGCCACTTTCAAATTATAAATTGAGTTACGATGAAACTCTGCCGCGAGATTTCCTACAATGGGTAACTGAGAACAATATTTCAATCATAACATTGAAATAAATAAACTTTATTCTGTGTATTTAAGGTTTCAAATCAAAGGAGGAACCTTGATAAATAAACAGGTTGAACAAACAAATAAAGTTCAATAAAGTTTTAATATTACCTGTAGAATTATTGAATTTGTAGATAGGCGAGTCAACATCCCCATTTATACGATTAATAAGATATTATAGTCTTGGCTGCACGGTTGGCGTGGTGGCGTGGCAACTGGCTGTCGCGCAACGTGTCGCGGTTTCGATTGACGGAACAACTCTTTGTGTGATCCACAAATTGTTGTTCCGTGTCTAGGTATGGAGTATGTGAAATTGTATGTTTGGAAACGCACCCAACGACACAGGAGAAAATTATTGTTGTCTTATTTACTACTAATTCATGGTAACGGATTTCCATTTTTACCCTTTGATAACACTCACACCCTGAGTATACCTAATCTCCTCAATCTTCAATCTAGACTTATAAATAATCTCAAACTTTCAACTGTTTGTTTCTTATACTGATTTTCAATGAAGTCTCTTTATTAAATGTAATTAGAAAATGGACAAGCAAAGTCTAATCAAACGCAAATAATGTTTAACTAACCTTCATAATCCAAGTCTGAATTACAATCAGAATTAAATCATGGTTCTAATTCAAATTATTCAGTAATGAGCCGTAACGCTGGGGATTGCTTGTTTCCATTAACGCTAATGGAGTTAATCGCCGCAGCTCTATGGGTGATTGGATCCTGCTGCTTCACGTAATTCCTTATCGAAAAAATATTACGAAGATATTTTTTCATTTTATTACTCCATTATACAAATTAAAAAATCTCTATCCTTACTTTCAATAAAATATATTTTGTTGAAAAGTTTGTACCTACGCAAATATAATATGTAAAACAAAATGGCGGCAAAATTACTTTTCTAGATGTGTCTATGACAAAGATGATCAAAGCGTTCTGCCAACTATAAAAACTTTTTGGATAAAATAATCATAACCTATCATAATTAAGTATATTTTTATAGAGATAACTTATTACCTATTTAACTTCTGCTCTTGAAGTTGTAAATAACTCAATTATAGAGTGTTTTATAGACAATTTTATGACGTCGTCAAAAACTTCCCTTGCGATTCCATTTACTGTAATCGTAAATAGCCCAAACTTTTACAAACTACATGAGTTTTTAGGTGGCGTTGGTAGTAAAATATTGGTTAATAAAAATGAGCTATGCTAGCTACGCTGAGCCACGTGTACAGGCGTACAGGCGTCCTAAACAAACTAGTATTTTACATACATAATTTATATAGGGGATGAAAAGCAGTAAGTACAATAGTCGTTGTAAAGTAGTACAAGCGGCCTAAGTATAACAAAGCCGCTAATTAGTCGACGCCCCACTTCCTCGTGTTATTCTTTAACAGTTATATAACAAGACTCTTGGGATAGAACTACGACGTTTTTTTACAAAACACGCACGTTCGGAATATTCTTTTAACTGTAGAATTTTCTGTTTTTCTGATTTTGATTTATGGAATAGAATAAGCTAACGAGCAAAGGGATGACCTGACGGTAGGCGATCAAGACTGCCAATGAACCCTCCAATTCCAGAAGAGTAATCAGTAAGTAGACTAGTAGTTTTTTTTATGTATAACATAAAAACACGTGCACTCTAAAATAGTCTGAAGGATTACTTGATGGTAAGCAATTAGCGCCGCCCTTGGACACCCGCAACAGCCAAGGAGTTGCAAGTGCGTTGCCGGAGTCGCCGGCATTATAGGCATATGGAATTTTAGGAAAGATAGGGCCCCCGGTCCAGGTAACCTAACTCACACAGCGAAACACAACGCTGTGATTGTTTCTCGCCGGTTTTCTGTACGGCTGTGGTATGACTCGCCCACACTTACCACATAAATGATTAATTTCTCATTTAAGGGATCCAAAGTGTGAAAGTCTTCTAAAATCTATTCGCCAATTTAATTACATAGACCAGCATCTAACTGTCAATCTAAGGTCCAATAGAGAATAATGTCGTCTCAAGATGACTCAACGATTTAATTAATTTCCGGTATCCAGTAGGAATCATGTCGGGTTCAATAAATAATTATGAAATACAAATGCTACGGAAAGATATTCTCGAACGAAATGAAATTCCATTAATCTCGAACTTAAACATTTGCTTTATTTATTTTAAGAATTTGTTTAGGAAATGTAAATTCGTTAATTTATTCGAGAAACGTACCTAATTAAACGAACAAAAATATCCAGATGGGACGGCAATTATCACGAGTGTTGTTGGTGAGAAATCATCAAAAAACATAATGAAACTCTTTTGTTTTACAGTTATACTTTTACCATAACTTTTTTTAAATTTCGAATAGTCAAACTGACATTTAAAAAATCAAAGGTTGACGTATGTCATCGGTCTAAAAAAATTACAAAATTAGTTTTTTATATTTTGATAACAACCATTATGTATACTATTTTGAAATAAGGTAAATATATTTCTATTTGTTATTTATATTGTGGAGGAATCCCAAGAAAACGCAGCTTCGATGCTAAAATGTATAAAGTTTTTGTTTTTGTAGCACTACATTTGCTGCTGTACAATGATTGAAACTGGCAGCGCGGACAACGCAACAGCTGTAACACCAGCGGCAAATCCGGTTAGCTGATCTATCGTAATAAACTGTTTTTTAGACTTTATTATTGCTTGTTTGTTGATAGCGAAATAAAAATCCATTCCAGTCCATTGAAAGACTACATACGTAGATAAAGCCAATTACGATATTTCTATATTTCGATCGGTTTTGCAAAACATTTAGTTGATCACTTACTCATCTAACTTTTAAAATAAATTAGTGAAAATACCAATAATATTTTCAAATTATAAAACCTTCATGCTCCCATTTTCCTTAGGAAGTTTTACAAGACGACGACGACATCGCTCGGCCAGAGGCGACGTTCCGTTTCACAGTTCAAAACATAAGTCAGTTGAAGGAGCAAGTACTCTCACCTCCTTGCTTCGTGAGATGTCTGCCTTGGAAAATCCTCATACTCCTGAGGCACACGACCACACCTGAACGCCAGCAACAAAAGGCGTTGGGGGTGTTCTTGCAGTGCAATGGAGACTGTGATTCTCCGGGCTGGTCGTGCTATGGGCTAGGAGAGCTAAAACTCCTTTCGCACAAACCGGACGGTGGTCAAGCCCTCTGTCGAAAACTCCATCATATGTATCACTGGTACTTATAACTATACTATAACTGTACAATTAAGTATAGGAGAGTCATGCTTCGGCACGAATTGGCCAGAGTGTGATGTGTGATGGTTTTCTGTATGGTCGTGATATCACCATACAGAAAACCAAAGTGCGGCGTGAAACAACTACAGCGTTGTTACACCCTATGAGTGAGGTTACCAGAGGCGTAACACTTACCCTCTCCCCTCCCTTCCCGAATCCCTAAATCTCACTTATTCCCAAAACAGCACACTCGTAACTCTTCTGACGTTACGGGTGTCAATAGTCTGTTAGTAGTCTGTTAGTAGGTAGCACTAACACATAAAAATCCTTAATAACGCCCATTCACCAAGTTTCTAATAAGCGTGAACGCACTAAAATTATTCTTTTTATGAACAGTAAGGAAGACGACTGGGGTTTTGCCCACTTCATATCATGGGACGATCTTATGGATCCAGAAAATGGTTTCATAAAGGACGATTCAATCACTATAGAAGCTCATGTACTAGCTGAAGCTCCCCACGGTGTATCATGGGACTCGAAGAAGCACACGGGATTTGTTGGTAAGGTGATAGAAGTAAGACTTTTTCATACCATTTGTCAAATTTTTACCTTTACCATAATTAAAGTCAAAATCACTTGTTCCAACTTAACTATTACCAGGTATTTTTGAATCGTCAAAATAGAATCTCTAGTCTGAGTCTGTTCGTCAATGAAGCTAGGTGCTCATTCCAAAGTGTAAATTCGAATGTAAAAAGAAAAGCAAGAAACTCCATCATAACTCTTTTAAAAAGTTTTAAGAATCCAACCAACCTTACTTAACAATGATGCTCAAAATAGAGAAGGTACTATTTTTCATATAAAATAATCAAGCAATGACACATGTTGGCGAACGAATGAAAAAAAACGTTTTCCTCAAAAAGGTTGCCCAATGCAAATCCGTTTCAAATAAACATTATTTTCCAATAACGGCGTGGATGGCAATCCGGTATGCATAAGTGCATAACGCGCTATTCAAAGGGTTAAAGGAAAATTATTAGAGTGGAAATAATAGACGAGTGAATAGAACTATGAAATAGATATTTTATCGAATGAGTGCTGCATTAGGTGATGGAGATGCTTACACACTCAGAACAAACTATAAAATAAACCAATGATTTTTTGGTTCACTTTAGTTCAGTTATTTTAATAACCTAACTTAAGCAGATAAATTCGGCTTCGTAGGTAAATTTTGTATTTACTGGCCGGATCATCCAAATTATTTCACTGATAGATAGCTACAATGTTCCTGTGTGCTATAGACAATAAATTATATTTGATTTGCGTGTTTTAGTCGAGATATCGCCTTATATGCTGCTGCTTTTAAAATTACTTTTATGCGGAATAAGATTAATCAATAACAACTTTTAACATTCCTTCTCAGGGCTCAAAAACCAAGGAGCGACCTGCTATATGAACTCTCTTTTGCAAACCCTGTTTTTCACGAACGTGTTACGTAAAGCCGTTTACAAGATCCCGACAGTCGGAGACGACAGTTCTAGGTCCGTCGCATTTGCCCTACAGCGCGTGTTCTACGACCTTCAGTTTTCAGACAAACCTGTTGCTACCAAGAAACTGACGAAGAGTTTTGGCTGGGAGACATTGGACTCTTTCATGCAACATGATGTGCAGGAATTCTTGCGGGTAGGCCATGTAGTCATGTTAAATATACAATGTGAAAGAAATGTTTTTTGGGGATGATCATCCCCGCAAACAGGAAATTCTTCAAAAATATTTTGTTTGATTTGAATAGGCTCTGAAACTACTTGACCAAAAATTCTTTCATTGTTGGGAAGCTATACCTACCATCCCCGGTGACCATAGCGGTTACAAACTAAGGCGAACGAAATTGCTTGCTTATTAATATTAGTAGCAACTAATTAAAATCACTCTATCCAATTATAAAATAGCCATATCACCTTGATGAAATATCAGTATCTTGGTTTTTTGTACCTACTTGAGAAAATGAAGTGTTACAATGGGACCATAGCGTAACTTGATATTCCTTTTATGAGATCCTCAAAATTTTACGGTCACCAGTAAAAACGGGGAAGCCAAAAATCTTCAGCCTTCAATTTTCACTGGCTTTCCACACGGGTCCTACGTGGTCCGAAATATTTTACCATTTTTTTCATGGAACCTTACAATTATGCTTCGTTGGATTTTTTGCATATAAAAGGCTTCAATCCTTTGCCGGGTAAAAACTCATCTCTCGTGAATGCTTTTTGCAGAAATCCATATTTGATGTGTTTTCTCTCAATTATTGGAATACAAAATTTGATGACCATTTCGAAGTCTTCCTAACGACATGAAACTATCGTGTTTCATGCACTTTATGCATAGATAAAAATGCTAGCGTATTAATATTCACAATTGAACCTAATGCGATTGGTTAATGGAAAATGATATTGCGCAATCAAGTCTGAATTTCTCTATCACATCTTTACAGGTACTACTAGACAAGTTAGAAAACAAAATGAAAGGCACGTTGGTAGAAGGAACTGTGCCAAAGTTGTTCGAGGGTAAAATGACGTCATTCATAAAATGCAAGAATGTGAATTGTACCAGCACACGTGTGGAAACGTTTTACGACATACAGCTCAGCGTCAAGGGGAAAAATAATAGTAAGCACACGTTTTTCTACCATAAATTGCACCTTAAAACACACCACACCAAGCCAGCTTCTTCTCACAGAAGAATTTAGCAAAGATTTTTTGATATTTTTTGATATGATTACCTGATAGTAAGCAATCAGCGCCGCCCATTGCCACCCGTCACAGCAACGGCAAGAAGAGGAGTTACGAGTGCGTTAGGGATTTGGAGATTTCGAGATTGGGAGAGGGGAAGGATTGGGCCTCCTGTAATTTCACTCACACGGCGAAAAACAACGATGTGATTCTTGAAACTTAGTAAAAATTAGGTATAATAGCAAAACAAAAAAATAATACCAACGCAACTTGGTACTCGTTAATAACAACCCGTTGCTAACTCGGTAACCAAAGGAAAAAACTGCAACAAGCCAATGCCCAGTTACTTTCAACAGCTATTTCGTTGGCAATAAATTGGTCCAATTTGCAACTTTGAAATGCAACCCAGAACGGGACTTTGACAGATTTTCATAAGTTACGAGAAATTCCTTCTTTTCGTTTAACCACTATGAATGAAATCGAAGTCCGTAAATTTATTGATTGCTATATTATTGGAACTATTAACCTTCTTTAAGAGATACAAAGAGAAGACGTAACGCGCCCGCTTCTCATACATGCGGGTGCGGGTTCGAAACCTGTATGCATGTAACTTTTTCTTAATGTTAATTTTTAGTACTTTATATGATTATTTAGACACCACTGACATACGGTGAAGGAAAACATCATGGGTAAACATGGACTTATAATTATTTATAATTATAAGTTAGGATTCGCCAATCCGACTTTAGCAAGCGTGATGATTAATTTTCAAACCTTCACCGTCTCCTTTGCTCAGCAGTGGCAGCATAGGCTGATGTTGTGATGAAGTATAATAAGTATATTATTATTTATTTATTTATATTATTGGAACTATCAACCTTCTATATATAGATATTAAGTATCAGAGTGTAATACAGGCGCCATCCAGAGGTGTGGTAAAGAAATATTTGCATTTATACGAGCGTGTATGGGTTAAGTTTTAAGAAAATTAGTTCTGCCGCAAGCCAAAATTATTTATAGTGTGAGTTTAGGGCTTTAATATTAGTAACATGTGTTTTGGGTACTTTGCATATGTTTTTGTGTGCTTTATCTAAAAACAACAATGTAATTAAACATATGAAAACATTTTTTCTATTTTAAGTTTTAGGGTTGTAACTTCTCCGATGTTACGGGGCCTGGAGAAGGAGAAAAACGTGGTGGTTTTGAGTCTGTAAGAATCTGGAAAAGAGAAGCGGGAGAAGCCATTTGGTGATTTTTCCCGCTCAAAAATTAGCTCCATTCCTTTTGTAAACGATTTGATTCCTTCACAATCCTTCTTTCAACCAACCTCCAAGCAAAAATAGCACCCTTATCCATCGTAATCCTTACCTTCCACAGTTTACGAATCTTTCAAAGACTACATCAGTACAGAGTTACTCGAAGGGGAAAATAAATATGACGCCGGCGAACATGGTCTCCAAGAGGCAGAGAAAGGAGTCAGATTTGACGTGTTCCCGCCAGTCCTGCATCTACACCTCATGAGGTTCCAGTATGACCCTCAGAGTGACGCCTCTGTCAAATTTAATGACAGGTGAGTTGATATTCTTAAACCTCTTTAGACCTGAATAGCAGAATTCGGAACATTTTATACGTACATGAAATGAAAACAGTAAATAGCTTCTCGCAAAAAAACAGTAGTTTTTTGAGACATACTTAACTATTTGAAAATTGCGACTCACAGTGATGACTGCACATTTGACGCGGTGGCTGGACAACTGGCTGCCGCGCAACTTGTTGCGAGTTCGATTCCCGCAAGAAACAACTCTTTGTGTGATACATAAATGGTTGTTCTGAGCCTGGGTGTGATGTGTAAAATTGTATATCAATAAACGGACCCAGGGCACAGGAGAAAATTCTTGTATGGGGCAAATATTTTTTAACGAAAAAGAATTGCTCAGTAATGATACTTGTGTCAAATCACAACGGGACTCTCATTCATGAATTGCGTGCACGTAGCGGCAACTTCGCGCAGTCGATTGGCTTGATAATAATATCTATTAAAACTTTCCTCTGTAATTCTCATAAGTCGCTATTTTTATTCACCATTGTACAGATTTAAAATAAACCTTTTACATATTTTTCTGGTGTAAGTAATATAATAAATAAAGTAACTTGTGTAGTGTGCTAGATGTGAACAAATTCTTACATGAAACATTTATTTTACTTATTTTAGCAGTACGGTAGTTTCCAACTAGTCAAATTCAATACTTTTATCGAAATGTCAAAAACGATACTTTTCATGAAATTTGTATGAAAAACTGATCTCAACGTCATAGTATTTTTGCGTCAAATAGCTTACTTATTTCTTAATAATTAGCTACAAAATATCTAAAACTTAGTGTATCGATCGATCGATGAATAAAAGTACCTATAGTTATTTTTGAATATTTTATTGTATTGAAACGTCGAATTAATTTATTTTTGACCTAGGAAACTATCCAATTTTCGAACGTCTCATATTTAGAAATGTAAAAAGCTCCTATATACATTTACTTATATTTGTATACATCTGTTAACATTTTAGCTGTAGTACCGACGTTTTTAAATAAGACTATTATGCAAATTTCCGTCCCAAAACCATATCATCCTTTGATATTGGCGCCACAGGTGTTGTTTCTGGGCCAACCTGCAAAATGTTGACTCAAATTGATACTAACTTTATTATGCATAGACTTTATAAAATGTTTTACGTAATATTGATTTCCTTCAAAAAAAGCAAAAAGAGACTAGTAAAAAAAGAACGGCTTTTACACACACACACTGACAAGACAAAATTAAAACAACACAAACTTAATAACAAAATCATGTTTTATGACTCAATTCTGCCTTGTAAATAGTACAAAATCGAGAATGACAGATAAAATACTTCAACTCAATTTTAACAAAGACAACAACCAATCTATATCAAATCAATTTATAGCAACGAAAGTCTAGTATAAATAAGGTTGGTACTTTCTATTTATCAAATATTAAATTCACAGGTTCGAATTCTACGAAGAAGTGAACCTAGACCCGTATCTTCAGGAGATCCCAACGATACCAGCGCATTACACCCTCCATGCAGTGCTGGTCCACTCAGGAGACAACCATGGCGGACATTATGTGGTTTTCATAAACCCTAGGGGAGATGGAAAGGTTAGCAAATTTTTATTACGATCATTTTATTCTATGTACCTAGTACTCATTTTTCGTCGAGGGAGCGGGTCAAACGCAAGTAGGTACCGCGGCCTCGGCCTTGAGGAGGAGAAGAAACGAGGTGGTTTTGCAATCCTGCTCATAACTACGAGCCCCTGACGTGGCTTGAAACTAGTCGAGTTAACTCGTAAAACAGTTGTATTAGTAAATCATATATTATTATAATGTGTCCTATGTCCTATGTGAGTCAGATATTAATAGAAATAAACAAGTATTTTGTAAATACCTACTTCCAATGTTCTTGCATTATTACCTACAATCTTATGGAAGTTACTTTATATTTATCAAATCTTAAATGCATGGAAGAGCAGGTACTCCTAATACAGGCTTTATACGCTTCAAAGTAAGCTCCAATCTCCACTGATGTACGATGAAAACTTGTCCAATAAACCATTTTTCATTTCAAATGTTAGATACAAAAACATTTTAAGTGTGGGAGAGCCATGCTTCGGCACGAATGGGTCGGCTCGACCGGCGTGATATCACAGCCGCACAGAAAAGCGGCGTGAAACAACCACTGCGTTGTGTTTCACCATGTAAGTGAGGTTACCGGAGGCCCAATACTTCTCCTCCCCCAACCAATCCTCAACCCCTAAATATCCGGGCCTGCGGTCGGCGAGTAAGGGCAGCTCGCCGCCCGACCAGAACCAGGCCCGAGCGTACGGCGCGTAGCGTTCCGCGCGCGCCTCAAAGAGCCATTCGACCACCACAGACGGGGCCCTAAAGGGCTGATGTTCAGCCGGGGTTGCGGGGTAAGCGCAATTAGGTACCGCGACCTCGGCACTGAGCAGGAGAAGGAACAGGGGGGTTTTTAGTCAGTAAGAGTCTGACACTCCCTCTTGCCCGGCCGTGGGCGGGAGAAGTCATTTGATGATTTTCCACTCACAAAAAAAACCCCTAAATCTCCAAATCCCTAATCCCGAAAAGGTCGGCAACGTACTTGTAACTCCTCCGTTGCGGGTGTCCATGGGCGGCGCTAATTGTTTACCATCTGGTAATCCGTCTGCTCGTTTGCCGACCGATTGCATAACAAAAACAAACTGACTGAGATTTTCACCTAGTAATTTGTTTCACAGTGGTGCAAATTCGACGATGACGTAGTATCCCGGTGTAGTAAGCAAGAAGCCATCGAGTATAACTACGGAGGCAAGGAGGATGCACCGCACCTCGCCCGGAGAGCCACCAGTGCATACATGCTCATTTACATACAGTAAGACATTTTCTTAATACACACAACAAACGCTTACCCGTATAAAATGTTAGGTATGTATTACTTTACTGGAGAAATTCGACACAAACGTAGTATAGGGCGTCCTCCAGCTAGGTGAACTGACGATATCTACTGGCAGTAGTTAGTTGGATAAAAAGCTTAATGGCGTACTATTAGGGAGGTCTATGTCCAGCAGTCGACGTAATGAGGTTGATGATGATGATGACTCCGAATAATATTTGTACCTTCTTCTAAAGCGGTTCAACGGTCTAAGCATCAAAACTTTTAAGGATAAATTTTGCATTACAATTACTGTACCTGGATGACAGGGCTCAGTTCGTTTTCTTTTTTCTGAAAATGAAATCGAGATCGTTTTTAACATAGCTAGATGAGGACAAACTGAAGAATTTGTTATAAAAAATGAACTAACTGGGCCTGAGATACCTGAGATAATAGTAGATAGATAGTAACCCAACAGTGAAAGATTTTTTTATATCGGTCAAGTAGTTTCGGAGCCCCCGTTTGTAAAAAACAAAACACGTATGAATACATACCATGAGCTGCACGAATATTCTTTGATGACTTAGAAAGCTAAATAAAAACATGCACTAATTCTCACAATGTCTGTGAACAGGACATCGCAACTAAAATACGTGTTGCAAGACTGCACAGAAGGAGACATACCTACCGACCTATGCGAGCGCATCAGCGAAGAGATGCGATACGAGATGGTAAGGACATGTAAATATCATTCCACACAACCTACCTTACTTTCTTTTTTTTATAATTTTTTTATGTAAGCAACACAATTGCCCGTTTCAGGCGGCAGAAAAATAAGATGCAGAAAATTTAAATCTGATACTTCAGTCACCTCCGCCAAGTACTACGCCAAGATATTCAGCGCACTAAAACAGTTCTTCACTTTGCAGGCCCTAGCCGGCTCTAAATATAAAGGAAGATAATGATCTGCATCGACCGCACGACACTGTCCTTTTTTATACATTTTACAATTTTTGAAATTATTACAAGTGTTTACGTTTAAATAGTAAATTTGTCAGGTAGGTAATTATTAAGCTTTATATAATCTGAATATATTTTCTTTGTGTATATTTTATTGTAATTATTTATGTACCACTGTTAATAAAATTTGTTGCGATATTGTTTAGGTTTATTTTTGAAGTATACTAGCTACTCGCCCACGCGAACCCTGCATTTGTCTTCGTCTGTCACAGACGTACCTTCCAGACTGCAAACTTTTACAAATACTAATTTCTCGTGACGATGTTTCTTTCCACATTCCTAATATCTCAATATTATAACCAATTATTTACCTTCCCTCTGTATTTAACTTCAAATAAGATATAATATATATATATATAATCAGTTTTATTTCGACCTGTGAAACATTCTACACAATTCCTAGAATTGTGTCACTAACATACCAACAAAAACCTATTCACAAAAATACGAACAAAAAACCTAGGTCTAATTCATTCGAACCTAATTAATGCCTTGACGTATCTCAACAAAAAGGTAATCTAGTGGGCGAAGTAAATAGGAATGGAAGATTTGTGGCGCTTCCATTCTTTAATCATTAATTAGGTGTTCAGAAACACGTCTCTCCGTGTTACGAACCGTTTTCTGCTACATATGAAAGTGGTGCATGTTGCATGAAAGCGGGGCAGCCCAAGACACTGACGAGATATCCAAAAGACACGGCTTTACCACTATTTACTTATGCAACCCACTGAGCAATCAGTTGCTTTGTTTCACTAGACTCAAGAGAATGTTCCTTGTGCATTTGTACAAGATTTTCGCCTACTTGATATGAATATGTAGATGAACTTTAATATTTCATTTGCAAAGCCATTTTTTTTTGTTACTTGTGGTAAAAGGTCATTTCATACGATGAAACAATGCTGGGAAATAAGCCGTTAGCAGGTTAGCAATTTGACAGCAAATAAAAAAGTCCGTATGGATTGAGGAGCCACTTTCGATTTAAAAAGGAAGCTCGCCCCCTTATTTAGTAGGGAAGTAAATAATTTTGTAGACCGAATTCTGAAATTTGTAGTATAATATGTCTAAAGTTATGTAACTGTGAATGTGGCTCCTCAATCCAAACATCTGAATTGAGGAGCCACCTGAAACACGGAATATATTTCATGTATATTTTTGAAAATTTTGTATCATTTAGTAGCAATTGTGTATAGTGTCTACTAAAAATTTGAGCCCAGTATGGTTTATATTCAAGAATATACAATACTTTTAATGTGGCTCCTCGATCTATACACAAGAGCATGAATTGCCATGAAAGTTATTGGTCAATTTATATTCCACTCTAAAGACATTTAGTAGTAAGTGTGTTCGAATTTGTAGTATATGGACAAAGTAGTAGACTGAGCGAATTTAATAAATAAATGCATTTCATTTGGCTCCTCAATCGTGACGTCTGCATAATAAATAATTAACTGTACCTACCTGAGATCAAAACGGAATAAAATACCAGAGACACTAACATTTAGTATAAACGGTCTACTAAATACATATGCACAGATCAACATTGTATATGTTCGGTATCTGAAAAACAAATCACTTTTGAATATTCCTTACGAATTCGCTATTTAGGGTGACCATGTTATATGAATTAAACTAGGATGATTCATTTTTGAAATTTAATTTTTCGACAATATTCGGTACAAAGATTCTTCATAGGTTTAGGATATTTAGTATCTAGTCAATTTCGACATAAGTTAAAGAATGAATTAATATTGGTTGGTCGGTGCTTCTATGAATTTTACAGTGAGAATCATAGTCGTCATAACAAAACATCTCATCATTCGCTGGGTAGTGACATTTATAGTGACCCATTCCAGCTTCGCTAATCGCAGGGATAAATTCTATAACGCCTATTAAAGTATATAAGCTACTTGAAATCATTATAGTTTCTGGTACCTCGTTTACTCTAAACCTCGTAGAAACATTTAGTTCAAATGACACTGTTTTTGCTACAGTATATTTACACACTGTTTGGTGGTTACAAGATGTGCAAACGTTATTTTCTTCTACAATACAAATTGCCTCTTCTAAACTTTGGATTCCAAAAACACAAATTATATTCAGATTTAAAGGCAAAAAAGCGATCTGTCTAGATATTGGGGTAAATTCGCATGAATCATTAGTACACTTCTTATTCCAAATTGCACTAAAACAATACTTCAAAGCTATATGTTCAAAAATGAAGGACACATTGCAAGCAAATTCACAGCGGCTGTCTCTTCTATCAAAATACAGCACGCCGATTTCCGATCTCATTCTGTATATATCACAGTCACTAGAACCAGGATCTGATAAAAGTTTAATATATTGAGGAATTAAATCGTCAGAATATGTGTTTATTATTGCTTGTAAATTTCTACTTTGAATATACGCCACACATAAAAAATGCATGACTGAATCAAAGCCACACGTGTTTTGCAAACCCACTTTAGTGGAACTTTTGCCGATAGTTACAGCATCGCATAAATTGCCATTTTTTACAAATTTTATTTTTAATTTTGTTGATATCACATTAGTTTCTGCTTCACCTCTCCAATTTTCGACGAAGGAAGGACGATCAGAAAATATTGATTCAGTAGTAAATGACCGATTAATTTTCTTTGATCTTAAAGACTTTGATATTTTTCTTTTTTTCACCTCCGTTTGAGATTTTGTAAGTGAATGCTTCCTTTTTCGAGGGCGTTTAGTATCTTTATTCTGTGTATCATTAACAAGACCACTTGTAGCAAGTGCAATTTCTGTATTCAAGTAATTAGAATGTATTTTTACAAATTCATCAATTCGGTACTTTAGTAATTTTGTTTTGAAAAGCAATTGTTTCAAAGTTTTGAAGTAGCTCTCAATTCCTGACGATGATGGAGCAGTATTATCAATTTTGAAAAATGGACATAACAGATTAGACCACAATGGAAGTTTTCCAAGAATTCGTGTCCGTTACCCAGGCCAGATGTTGTCGACAATGGTCATTTGAATCTTATAGATAATTAGTTGTGCGGCTTCTGTAATTGTTGCGCACATTTTTAAATTTGTTGCGCTTATAGTTTTTTAATTATTTCACAAAAACATTTCCTGCTGGCGTAACGTTACCACAGCCAGACCTTTTTCTTTCTAATGGGAATATTTAAATAAATATTAGCTATAAAATTAGTTGTCTAGATAAAGTAAATGTTGTGCCTTATTTTGTATTTGTTCTTTCTTCGGTTGCGAAGTTATTCGAGATTTTGCTGCGGTAACGTTTTTGGATTTGCTAGATCTTTGAAATGGTTAAGCGGATTCTTATCATATTTTGTACACGACTTCCGAGGACTTAGATTAAATTTGTTGTGCAATAACAAAACCAAAATAATGCATATTTTAAAGGTTTTTTCATTAAATAGAAATACCCTTCAATTGGCCCCAGCACTCTCAATAAGAAGTCTAGAGACTTACTTTAAACGTAATTTTAAAGCTTGTAACTGCCTTCAAATGTATGTGAAGTTTCATTAGTATCCCGTAAGTATTTAACAAGTTATGATGATATTCAGTTCTTCACGAGCACGGTCTTAATGCACGCGGTGTTATTTGGCCACTGGATTGGATATATGAACTGAATGTTATGTCAATGATTAGTTGTTTAGATCAGTTGTATATCAGTAAAATTTCAGCTCAATACATTGGATAATTAATGAGATAATACTATTAAAGTCATTACGAAGTGAATGACCGTGGTAAGCCGACCAAGTTTAGGTGGTTACGAAAAAGCGAAAACGCAGAACATTGTACTATCTTTTGAAATGTTTAGTATAATACACCTTACAATTTTGGTACAGACGCGTACACTGTTAAATACAATAATATAAAATAAAACATTATCTTCCAGTTCCACAAAATTATCAAAAATCACCGCTAGAGCATGCCGTTCGGTAGGACGCAGGAGGAGTGGGGTGAAGGGGTAATACATTGTTTGCATAACGCACTCAGTCTTGCCAGAAGGTTACTTTTGTAACCTTTTAGATGATTTTTGAACTGCATTTTGAAATAGAAATGACAAGGACGGGTGATGTTTAATCGGTTGCTAAGCAACACAAGTTTTTATAAGTAAGGGAGTAAAAGTTCAATTGAAATGATTATTTTACCTTTCAATAAAAAATCTTAAATAATCATGTAGTTTTTTTTTAAACTTTTGTACATGTCTGTACTAAATTTATAACACTATCCTACATATTTTAGAAGGTACCATAATGTTCTGCATTTTCGCTTTTTCGTAACCACCTAAACTTGGTCGGCTTACCACGGTCATTCACTTCGTAATGACTTTAATAGTATTATCTCATTAATTATCCAATGTATTGAGCTGAAATTTTACTGATATACAACTGATCTAAACAACTAATCATTGACATAACATTCAGTTCATATATCCAATCCAGTGACCAAATAACACCGCGTGCATTAAGACCGTGCTCGTGAAGAACTGAATATCATCATAACTTGTTAAATACTTACGGGATACTAATGAAACTTCACATACATTTGAAGGCAGTTACAAGCTTTAAAATTACGTTTAAAGTAAGTCTTTAGACTTCTTATTGAGAGTGCTGGGGCCAATTGAATTGTATTTCTATTTAATGAAAAAACCTTTAAAATATGCATTATTTTGGTTTTGTTATTGCACAACAAATTTAAACTAAGTCCTCGGAAGACGTGTACAAAATATGATAAGAATCCGCTTAACCATTTCAAAGATCTAGCAAAACCAAAAACGTTACCGCAGCAAAATCTCGAATAACTTCGCAACCGAAGAAAGAACAAATACAAAATAAGGCACAACATTTACTTTATCTAGACAACTAATTTTATAGCTAATATTTATTTAAATATTCCCATTAGAAAGAAAAACGTCTGGCTGTGGTAACGTTACGCCAGC